CGTGGCTCCACAGCCACAGCCGCCCACAGCCGTGGCAAACTGTGGCAGGGCAGCCAGCCGTCAGCCGGCCGTGGATATTTCAATGAAATGCAACCAAATAGTATATAATAAGCTCTTTTAGTTGAAACATATAGCCAAAAGCACATTGCAATGGGCTATAGATTCTCAAACTCATGAAGCATCATAGGTATGTGGTTGTGTATCTGGCTTTAGGCCGAAGGCCTGAAGCCTGATGCGCATCGCATGCCTACACAAGCCCTTGCAAGGGGTTAAGAAAGATGGGTAGGTAGGTACCTACATCAACAGAAAACAAACAACGAACCAGAATAGAAGCACTAGCAGTGTAGACATCTAATGCCAAATCCTGAAGCATGTTTGTGGGACAGAACAACAGACCCTGATGCTTTTCATTATTATCAATGTTAGGTATGGAAAATGAACTGAAGTTGATGGACTGTCAAACAGGTTGTCTAGTCAAAACTCTTCCTTCTTTCTTACCTCGCATATTTTCTGGGGTGTGATATGCCAGGCTTGAAGCACCCTTTTGAGCAAGTCTCAAACTAATTGATATGCAAGGCATCAAAACACTAGTGAGCATCCAAGAAAGAAAAACATTCATCTATTTTGATTTTTCCAAATAATGATCTTCGCTCAAATCCCCAAGGACGTGCGAGCCACAATTGCCTCTTTCAATCAAAAATTATACTTGAGTTTTTAATGACGTCAATAGCAAAGAAGTACCAATAAATTGTTTTGTGTCACTATAAACAGCCATAAAAATTAAAATTGATAAATAATAATGCTATATAGTTAAAAAGTTGCTCTCAAACAAAGATTTATCATCAAATTTTAACATTTTTAGAAGAAGACGTCATTTTATTAGTAAAGTCAACAGCTCGCGTAAGAAATATTGTGTTCAGGGATCTCACCGTCATGTGAATTACGTGCTCAGGGTTTTCACCATCATGTGAATTAACCGTAAGTAAGGTTCATGCTCACTTATAATCTAATTCCATTGGCTTCTTTGATCAGCATTTTCTGTAAGCGGTCACTCACACACCAGTTAGAACATAAAGCGCCAGTTTTATATTATGTAATTGGACTTGCCAAATGCCGAAAACCAGAAATACATCTACGAGTTATTTTAGATAATATTTTATGAAGCCTTTACCTAGGCGTGATTTCTTTTTCTATTAACTGAAAGAATTACTGAACGCTGGTCTTCAATAGCTGTAAGGTGCTCTCCTAATGACCAGGTGAGATTGATTTGATAGGGATGTGACAATGCAACATGTTGCATTTTCTGAAACTGTCAAGCTTTTGATGATGAAGGAACAATTGGTACCTATAATTAGTATTCTGTACCAGAGTGCAAACTTTCCTACAGCAAATGGTAAAACCATTACAGGTTTTCAAAGGCTTCACCACTTTCAATGTTGCTGGGCATCCTTTGCATGATTTTTACAGGCTAGACTGCTTATCAGAATGTAAGATTAAGGATTTAGAATTTTATATTTGAGTACTTAAGATTGAGCCTGAAATCTCACAGCCGTGGCCACAGCCGTAGCCGTGATCTTGGAGATATTTGCAGCCGCCCCGGCCCACAGCCGTGGGGCTGCAGCCAGCCGCGGCTGCAGCCGGCCGGTGCAGACCTCTAGCGCGGCCCGACGCACCACCACCGCACCACAAAGTATGAGCAGAAGCCGCGCCCAAAGCCAGGGCCCCGGTAACGTGAGGTAGCCGAGTCGGGGCAGCGTGCGCTGACCCAAGCCGGGGCCGCAGCTTTGGGCGCGGTCTACCGCATCCCCGCGGGCAGCCCCGGGCTATCACATGACACCGGGAGGACGCGCGGCCCCGGCTTGGGTCAGCGCACGCTGCCCCGACTCGGCTACCTCACGTTACCGGGGCCCTGGCTTTGGGCGCGGTCTACCGCACCACCTAACAGACGTGTTCGAAACCGCAGGAGATGATGATGAACGGGTTTATCGAAACTTGATTGGATGAGCATATCGGTAATAGCGATTTCAGTGTGTGCATTTATTGTTCATAGTGGTGTGAAATGTGGTTGGGGTACGACCGACAACCCGTCGGGGCGAATTTCGCACTGGGGTACTCAAAATTTGAAGAATTTAAGACGTTTCCATGAGTTTTGAAGGTATGGATAAGATCTAAAAATCCGGTTCTCCTTATCTGGGCCATTAACTCCATACGGTCCAGGAAAGCTGGCACACTACCTTTAAGAAGAAGCGTAGTTGATGGGTCATACTTTTGTCTTCAGCCTTGGATATGTGCATGTCCCCTTTTTACCTGCTTATTATGTGGTAAACAATCATTGTTTACAAATCACGACCCACTTATCATATGCACAACATGTAAGCCTCTACTAAAATGAGATTTCCCTCTCAAAATTCCTTCTAGCCTCTTACAAGTTCATATATTTTTGTTTTGTTTATGTTTTTGCTGTTGCATTTTGGCAGTGTCAGTAAATATGATTAAAAGAAATTGCAAATGCAGATATTCCAATGCAATGGCTCGCTCAATGGACACCACATGGCTCTAACAATGGAGTAACGGGTTAGAGTATTTAACATACACCCATATTCACTTTCAAAAACTGAAATAAAATGTATGTATATCAACATGAGCTTTGCGTGCCCGTCATTACCGCAGGACTCTGTTCAGCTGGCGGCGTAAAGCTGCTAGCGACGTTTACATCGCGTGCAGTCAACCGCTGCTTATCCAATCATATGCAAATCAGCGGTTTGCGAATAGATCTGGCCGTATTTTCACCACCCGCGCGTGCCATTAATGCTGAAAGGCCCCGTCGATTTATGAAAATACGGGCCGCGCTGGAGGGCCGCGAATGCTAGGATTCAATAACGGTTCGATAACATGCAAATCTCTCAATCACATCTCATGGCTTCCTGATCGGTTACGTTACAGGAATTGGTTTCGCAGAAGTTTCGTGAAGTGAACTTCTAGTATCGGATACAGATGTTATCGCTGATTGTCTTTATTAAAACAGCCTTATGGCGCTATTTTACATTAAATATCAGTATATCTTATAGTTCAGACGCCCTACCGTTTTTCACTGCTGGCACATTTGATATTGATGCAATAATTCATTCACTTTTCTTGTAATAGATACATGAACATCGCCCCAAGTTCAACCAACTGACTTACCCACACACGTTATTTCGCAAATGCAACGCACACGTCTCATGCAATGCCCTTCTTTTGCAGGTATGTGGCAAGTCCTTCAGCAACGCGTCCGCGCTCACCAAGCATCGGCTGACGCACAGCGACGAGCGGAAGTACGTCTGTGCCATCTGCTGCAAGGCCTTCAAGCGCCAGGACCACCTGTAAGTTGGCTAAACTGACCTTACTTGCCATCTTTCTTCCCCTTTTCTTTAAAGTTTGTCAACAGTTTTAACCTTGAAATTAGCATGTAGACCCAACATGCCTTATTTTTTCAATAGGCCTGCAGTAATGTTCCTATCGCCTTGACTATGCCCCTTTATGCTAAATCAGCATTCTCCATTGCTGAGCGAGCGTACCTTGAGGGTTTGGTTTGATAGATCGTCTTTTCTATCATGATGGCTTGCAATCTCCCCCTCCTTTGCCTCAGAGCAGACCTACTTCTAAGAACCCCTACACTATTTGCAATATGCACACATCCTTGTGAACCCATTGTCTCTTGACTTGACCTTCTCACTCTTCCCAGCAACGGCCACATGTTGACACACCGCAACAAGAAACCATACGAGTGCAGTGCTGAGGGCTGCAACAAGTCCTACTGCGACGCCCGCTCGCTGCGCCGGCACGTGGAAAACATTCACGGCCAGCCCGGGGGCGGCGGCGGCGGAGGGCGGGTACACACCGTCTCCGCTGTGACCGCCACCCCTGGCACGCCCGGAGGCGACGACCGCCAGGTCACCAGCAGCAGGGAGCAGGGGGTGAGTACGTGGGGAGTAGCGGGAGTAGTGGGGTGTGTGAAATGGGAGCGAAATGGCAGCTACATTTAAGGGGGGGACTATGTCGCGAATAGAAAGTTATTGGTAATAATTCGCGATTGGAATGCTCTGATTATGATATTCCTTTGCTGATGGAAGACGTATCTGACAGCACTGTCTACACTCGGAAATATTTGAAGTAAATTATTATAATTAATTGAGGACGGAATCCCAATGCTCATGTGACAACATTCCATTCATTTTTAATATCTCTTGTTTTCAATAACTGTATCACTCGCTATAAAAAGCCGATGCACAATGTACACAAAGAACACAGTGGTGTGCTCGAAGCAGTCACCAATAATGTCACGTCATCTCTCAGCTCGGCTGGTGAGTCAGGGCTCCCCGTGCGTCTAGCTGGCGCAAATCAGACCTGCGCAATAGCGTTCGAACCTTCTCTGATGAACGGCTGACATCCATAGTGCTCAGTGGCGCTCCAATGATGGCCGGTGCTGGTTCGTGTGCCATATGAACCGTGCCACCGGCCGCAGAGCCGCGGCTGATCGGCCGCCCCAATCGGCTCAGCTCTGTGATTTATTCAGCTGTAATGGGCAGCGCTCCCGGGCGGCCCCAACTCAGATCGGCCCGTGTGTGACGAATGGGGGGGGGGGGGTCTGAGCTACGTGAGGTCAGGGATAAAAGGGGCTAACCATTGGTGCCGTTCAGTTGCTTGCAATGTTATGTCATCAAGGTCAAATATACTTAGCTCACCGTTACTTTTTCTCCTAACCTGAAACTGACTCGAGAACGATGAACTTGAGAACCCCTATCGCTAAGGTCACAGACTACTGTATTACATATATTGTACAGAGTAGTGTATGTTATGGTAGGTATATGATAATGCAAAGAATGCTTCTACGTAAAGATTCGACATTAGTGATGTTGCGATACGTTACACTAAATCAATTGAACTACATCAAAACTAGCACCCCAAAAAGGACAAACCACCGTTCGCATCTCCGCTGTTGAGCGGGGCAGTTGCGGCGCGGCATGCCGTGGTTTCCTCTCGCCGTCGTTTTCGCCTCCGCCGCGGCGCAGCACCGGTCCCCACTGGGTTACTGGCCGCCATCTGTCAGATTGCCGGCCATTCCGGCGATCGTGACCGCCGCGTCGGCCGCGTCGCCGCCGACGCCACCTGCCGTAGCGGTGCCGTCGTCGGCACGCGGCCGTAGCTGATGGGAGGCGCGTCATAAAGTATTGCTGGTGCGCGGTGCGCGCGGCCGCTGGGCACTGCTCGGAGAGGGGTGTTTCCGAGCTGGAATGGGCGATGACGCTGCACAGGTCGATAAAGCAGAGGGAGAGCTGGTCGGTGAGTGAGTAGGTGCGTAGAGTCGGCTGGGAAAGTCGCGCGTGAGCTAGTGGAGCGCTAGGAATGTGGGTGATTTTTGTCCCGACGGCGGAAAATACAGCTAAGAATGGCCGGAGCGCGACGTGATGTCTCGCAAACAGAGGCTGTCGGGGGACAGAACACCGATCATAGAGGCTACCGCTGTGATTGTGGTGTAAGGTGCGAAAATGTCAGAAGCGTTTCAATATCAATAGGTGTAGGTGTTCAGTAGACGCTGCTATTTAAATGTTCATTTTTCTAATAGCGCCGGAGATTCCGAGTCAGAAACAAAAGCTAAAATGTTCAAAAATCGGAAAACTATTGCCGTACTCCTGGGTTCTTTTAACTTAATGTTATAATTCAGACATAAAACCTGTTTGGTTTACCGTAGTGATTATTATGATGGCTGGCGTTACCTGCGGCAAGCGCTTGTCGATAAAGAACAAAATATAAAAGATCAGCGATTGACGGTAATCTACGTCTCTTGTAGGACTTTGACACATGCAGTTCACAATAATAACCCTAAATAATCGGAGGAAAATGTCTGCAAAAAGCCTCGAGCGAATAACTTTTGGAATGCGCCCACCCACACACCTGCCATGACGTTCGTTGAACTGGTGGAAGTCGCTTGGTGTGGCGGTCGGCGAAGTAGGAAGTAAATGCCAATAGCTGACGTCAGCCGAATATTGTCCTCAGTTCCGTGATACCGCGAGTCATTGTTCCACAAAGTCTCTGCGTCACAGCCGTGAGAGCCATTTCTAACACTGGTCACACCCATATCTGAGCGCAGAGTTGACCAGAGAGCTACGCAGGCCAACGCTCCCGCACTGTGGATTACCGCCCTCTGTTGTAGCCCGACGGACGGGACGGAGTTCTCAGGCTCCGAGTCCGTTTTCCGGGCACTAGGGATCGGTCACAGCCGATTGACATTTCACGGCTGACGGGCGTGACCTTTGTCCTTTTGACCTGCACTCCCACAAAACGGTGCGCCCGGGTGCTACATTACATAACACGTGATCTGTCCCGTGTGTCTGTCACCAGCCAGCCAGCCGTGCCGCCGATGGGATCTCCCGGCCCTGTGTCGAGACGCGTAACGTTGTTTGTTCGCTTGTTTAGCCGTCATCGGCGTGGTTCTTCCTCGTGGCGCGACCACCAATCTGGTGCTGATTTGGTAAATTAAGTGACTGGCTCTTGGTGACCAGGACTGGATCGAGCGTCGCTAGAAAGCAGCATTGTGCCTGATCCGACGCTGATTAGATGCGCTAATGAGCACCGCCCCACGGACAGATTGTGTGGAAATGTATTCGGCGTCAGCGGGAGCCGTGTCCTCTGTTCCAAGAAGGCTCATTATCTTGGGGATTGATTGGAGACAACTCCAAATGTGGTCGTCCACTTGTCTGATACTATATTGCTGCTGAGGCCTGAGGACCGTCCTGGATGATCGCTGTCATACGGTAACTATATAGCCAGCCATGCCTTAGTCTCAAAATTTCAATGACATATGATTGTGAACCGAAATATGTTCAGAGCACACATGTTGCATTTTTCCATATACAGTTGCTCTGTATGCTTCTCAGTTTAAGAGTCTTACAATCAATATGTCCGGAGAGGCGTAACACAATGACTAACTAACCTCACAATTACTCAGAATTCACAAACATTTATAAAAGGTTATGGCTATTGCGTAACTCCAGCAACTTCTTTAATTGCTTCGCACCTCACTGGATAGTGGATACCGTGTCTCACCTCCTCGAAGGATTTTGACTTTATTTCATAGTTTTAACTCTGTTGGTAACTACTGAGGTGTCAGCTGGCGGCTATTCGGGGAAGTACTCTGTCACCTTTGGCTCTCATCCTGCACTGTTTCGACGAATAGGAGCCACACTGCATGGACAGGGAAGCACAAGTTGCACCTATAGCGAGTGGCATCGTCCACTGCGCCAGCTTATGAGCGGCGACTGAAACAGTCTATGGCGGTACTCATTTAAAGGTAGTGTGCCACATTTGAAAGATTTCCCATTTTATTTTTCCTAGGATAAGAAGCTTCTGTTTTTACCTAATATCGCAAAAAAATCAAAAATGGGCCTGGAATAATGCCTTTTTCGCCTAAAAGTTTATCGGTTTTTCGATATGTATAACAACTGTAGTGGGCTGACCTGCAAACAGGCGTCGGCAACAATCGCGAATGCGGCGCACATGTGACAATAAGCAACGGTCATTATAGAGTTACGACGTACGGGAATGAGTTATCAGCTGTCTAATCGTAGACAACACAATGTCGAGCCTTTAACTGTAAGCCTGTATTGGTATTGTTTCTTTTATTTGGCTGTCGAACATTATTTATGGTTTGAAATATGATTTTATGTAAAATAATTGATATGAAAAAGCCGTCTCTTAATTAAGTTATGACCCCATTTCACCACACGCAAGTGGCAGAAATGACAATGATCAGCTGACGCATTTTTCTTGGCCGAAGTCAGAGCGCGCGGCCCGACGCACCACCACCGCACCACAAAGTATGAGCAGAAGCCGCGCCCAAAGCCAGGGCCCCGGTAACGTGAGGTAGCCGAGTCGGGGCAGCGTGCGCTGACCCAAGCCGGGGCCGCAGCTTTGGGCGCGGTCTACCGCATCCCCGCGGGCAGCCCCGGGCTATCACATGACACCGGGAGGACGCGCGGCCCCGGCTTGGGTCAGCGCACGCTGCCCCGACTCGGCTACCTCACGTTACCGGGGCCCTGGCTTTGGGCGCGGTCTACCGCACCACCTAACAGGCGTGTTCGAAACCGCAGGAGATGATGATGAACGGGTTTATCGAAACTTGATTGGATGAGCATATCGGTAATAGCGATTTCAGTGTGTGCATTTATTGTTCATAGTGGTGTGAAATGTGGTTGGGGTACGACCGACAACCCGTCGGGGCGAATTTCGCACTGGGGTACTCAAAATTTGAAGAATTTAAGACGTTTCCATGAGTTTTGAAGGTATGGATAAGTTCTAAAAATCCGGTTCTCCTTATCTGGGCCATTAACTCCATACGGTCCAGGAAAGCTGGCACACTACCTTTAATGACGCGGTGCCCCGAGCCGTGCGAAGGGGATAACTCTAGTGACCCAGCACCTCATCGTGTGATTGAGTGACACGGTGACACAGTGATTCAGTGATGGCCTTTTTAGGTGTTGACCTTTCGTTCGTTTACCAGATTTCCGCGTGCAATCATCAACCGAGAATGCTCTTTCCTGCTGAATCTGCGGGTATTGATCTTTCTCCGATACCAATCGGACTGTCAGCCTGTCGGCGACAGACCCCCGTTATGACAAACTGTCAACCCGCCGCTGCCGACCGGTGGTGACAACCGGCTCGGGAGCTGTTCAGTGCGCGCCTCGAGAAGTGTTGCTGCATTTCCCGCAATATTTCCTTTTAGGTGTTTCCTTTCATTTCAGTGGCTTCTAGAAGGAGGGTAACGTTTGGAAATGGGATGATGAACTATGGGGGCCCTGAAGGTGCTGCAAGCTTATCATTTCAATTTGCTATACAAACCTTGAAATGAATAGGAAATACGATCAGCGGTAGAAAACCGGTTGGTAAGATAGCGGCAAATATTGTTAGTGAAGATCGCATTCGGCTACAGAGGTTTTGCCAGTGGCGAAAAAGGGCGAAACAAGCGCGGAATAGGTGCTGCTATGGCCGACTTGGGCTGAGCACAGTCAATTATTCTTAAATTGAATGATATTAGAACATTGCTTCGCTCTCATTCCAAGCAACACACATCCTCTCATAAATAAAGCTTAACCAGCTTCAACGAACCCTTCAATTACTACAGCACACTTTTGAAAATTATTTATACGGTGCGCAATTGAAACCACCCTTTATTTGAAACGCGAATCTATAAGGCCTTGATGTTGAGGCGGGTCTCGGAAGCTTAATTAAAGTTCTTAAGTGTTCGTTGATTCCTGCATCTGGGCTCAACTAGCAATTTCGACATACTTTGCAGATTATTTTTCGTTTGAAGTAGGTATTTGACCCATATTTACGCTGCTAATGAAACAGAAAATAAACGAAGTAACTTGCAACATCAGACAGCTTGAACTGCGCGCTACTTGCATGTGCTGCCTGCGAATAACAGAACTATAGTCCTTTTTTCATTGAGGTGTCGGAGAGGTGCAGTAATAAGGGGTTTTGACATCTTTTTGTAAATACCTTATACATCGAAATTGCCCATCTTTGATTACATATTTTCTGCCCTGATGCTGTAACAAATAAAATCAAGCCGGAAAATTTTGCGTAATTCCATATTTGTCGATCGTGACATTACGTTCGTGTCTTTGGTGAAGTGCTCTTTTGCTTTTCCGGCAACATCGATATAGCCAATCTTCACCAGCATTGTGTTTTTCATCAAAGCTTGATCCACAAGTCTCACTGTTGACATGCTCGGTGGATGAGTGTGTAAGTAGTGTACAGTGGCATCGTTTAAAAAGATTCGTTCTTGTTCAGTCTGCTATGTCGTCGTTCCGTGTCACCTGCCATGTGTAAGTATACTGTGTTCGCCTGTTGCAGAGCGCTGAGATAGAGCAGCTGCAGCTGATTCAGCAGATCATGCTGGAGGCGCAGGCGCAGAGCCAGTCCAGTCAGTCTGCCACCAACAGCAAAACCATCAAAAAGGTCAGTCCGAGGCCCTATATACCGGATCAATCAGACCCAGCTAGTCGGGACGGGGCACAGCACACATGCAGTGCGGCTGTCATTTCAACGGAGCAAGTCACACTGCTGACAGTAATGTGCCATCGGAGATGCGTAGTCTGTCGTCTAAAACACCACTGTGTCGAGTTATGCCTATCATCGGATGATTGGCGGGGGCTTCATTTTCAGATTGTCATCTTCTCTTTCCGAGACGTTGCTATCCTCCTTTTACCTGCTGTTACTCCTGGCATCCAGTGCTCAAACGATCGTTTTTTTCAGAACGATATTCAGGCTCTTTCCTGCCACATAAAGTCTCTTTCCACAATTCTATAAATAACTATCAGCTTCATGAGGATTGAGGATACAAACCTCCCGCCAGATTAACATGCAGACAGACCGACAAGCAAACAGAGTGGCATGCAAATTAAACCGTGACGTCATCATTTAACAGATGTGTTTCATCTAGGCGAGCTCTGCTGATCACGTCCCGATTTGACGCTGTAATCCAGTCATGTGGGCCCGGGGCGGTCCCCAAATCGGGTCATATTGGTCCAGGCTGGGTGCTCATCGTGACCCAGTATTGCCCGGGGCATCACCATTGCCGATATGTTCGGGTATATTCATCCAATAGAGTGGAACCGGGCAGCTACGGGGCTTTTGGTGCCGCGCGCATACTTATGCAATAGACATGGTGGTAGACACTAATTATGTAGATGTCATATGACGCACCATTGTGCGCATTAGCGATGGCCTATACGAAATGCATATGTCTTACTACGAGATAGGCTCCTTGTATATCGACACCTTTTTTTAAACCCCACATCTGCTCTCCCGTGAATTTCCGGGAGGCACGAAAGATCTCCTTTTAAAAGTGTCCAATCGTCCGATGCTGATCAAATATGTGTGTTCGTAGGCCTCTTCTGGTAATTGCTTTATCTGCCAAGACAGACAAACTTGAGAAAAATCGAGTGGTTGTACCTTTTTTGAAGGTCTCTAACCAACTTGTCTGAAATTCACCGGAAAACAAATGTGGGGTTTTAAAAAAAGGTGTCGATTTGTGCAATTCTTGTGGGAGGCGCCTGGAGAATTCGTCGCAGTCTCAACAGTTGCTGAGTTTTCCATCTTAATTAAAAGTGACATAGCTAGTCATAGTCAAGTGACCGACTGACTAAGGTCATGCCATGTCATACCAGCAGGGTTTGTTTGAATTGCCATCTTCACTCCGCTAAACACGCAACAATCGGGGCGAGCGCTCTTTTTTTCTTTCTCTCTTAGTTTTGTTACGAACTAATTTTGTGCACCTAATTATTATAAAATTCGGCACAAACCTTTCCAACAAATCCTGTGATTATTTATTATCGCAGTCTTACGACTTCTATCGTGGCACACGTCTTGGTGCTTTGGTGGAGCGCCGTTTAGGAAAGGTCCGAAGCAATTTCAGCCTATCGTACACCGCCATATATCCTGGAGTCATGTGTCCTAATGGGACCATTTGGATGGGATGAGAACTCGACACTGCTGTATGATTTGCTTTTCCACGTTTGTGACTTGTGCTGGTAGCATAGCAACGACGAATGCCGGAGATTGCCGGGAAGATTTCCGAGGAAGTAGCTGGAAAGAGGAACCGGCGCGGCGAAAGAAGAAATGTTGGAATGACATTTCTAGGTTAAATTTTGAAATAATGATGAATTCAGCTATTGAAGCCATCTATACAACCTTCCACACGGCAAATAGACGACTGATAGTGTTCGTCCTCTCTTTCCAGCATGGCAAGCTGTTCCACTACCGACACGTGTCCTCTCTGAGTTACCGCTCACTTAGTGCGGAATTTCGGATCAGACGCCTACAACACTGTCCACGAACGACAGATTAACGTCCATAGTTCCACAGGGATCGGTCAATTACGCCGCGAGACATTCCAGTGGTTCCTCATTGACGTCAATTCAATCAAGACCGCGTCTCATCACCGAACTTGGCGCTGTTTAGGCCTGTGCTCTGGTGGTTCTCCCGTAGCTGGCACCTCCTCTGGACCCAAGCCGGTGAAAGTTGCACGCTAAAAGCGGAGCGGACAGCCACTCCTGTGCTGCAACGGCTCTGTCTGGGGACATCCTAATCCCATGCAGCCCCTGCGCTCGCTCGTAGTGCGTTTCTGTGTCGCCGGATGACTTGGGAGGCCACCCGGGAGCCCAGGGTCCGGAGGGAGTCTGGTCTGGCGACCGAGAGACCAGTCGAAATTCATCAGGCAAACAGTGGTGTGCCGCCCTTTCGCCGTACGCGTGACCTTTGGAGTTGCCACGCTGCGGGGAGTAGATCCGTTGGCTTAGCTTCTCAAAGTTCCTTTATTGGTGACGCCTGGGCGAGTCTATTTAGCAGGCTGGCTGTCAGACTTCCTGTCTCGGGGTCGGGTCGCGATGGACGGGTCGTGAGCCTGTTGACCCGCCAGTCTGTCCCGGGGCAGTGATACGGCCGGCCGTGATACCCGTAGTTGACGGCCGTCTGGCTCGGCGGTTAGAGCACCACTGCCGGCACTGCAGTGGTTCTCCGTGTCGCCGCCAGCAGCGCGGCACACTCCACTGGTGATTTGCCGGGGGCGTGGCCGCATAAGTCTGCCGTGACCCGCGCTGCGAGCGACAGGCCAATGTCATGGTCTACGTTACTGGCACGCGTGCCGAGAGCTCATCAAGATGCCGCTAGTCCGGGCGGTCGTCTGAGGGAGGTCTGACGAGCTGTCTCTGCTACGTTCGGTTCTCTGTGCCGGACTAGACTCTCTGCGCCGCTCTAAAAACGCTCGATCAATCTCCGCTGGATTAGACCCTCTCACACGACGGACGTCTACCACTGAGTGCAGCCCAGACTATGCAAATGACGTTCATTTGCATCGGAAAACATCGCGCCTGTTCTTGACAGATTGGCGACCGCCGGTGCTATCTGCCGCGGCTCGTTTAGATAAGTTAATTGGGAGGACGTTAAGCAGGCTTTATGAGAGCACCGTGGACCATCCCGGCTGTTGGGAGCGTCAGGGGGTTAACTTTGGTCAATAGCCTCAGCGCCAGCGCTGCGGCCGCTGCGGGGCAGCCACCGTCGCAGCCGCCGCCCGCCGCGCCACCCAACAGCGGCAACCAACAGGTGAAGGCGATCGATGCGGTTTGGCCGTGCCTCTCGACGCCGCTGGTCTTCCATTGCCAAATGTCGGTGGCCTGTCGGAGATTTGGATGGAAACGGACGAGCGAGGACTCCAGCCGACTAAGAACAACGGACTGGAGTGGGAAAGAGAGGGAAAACCGTGGAGTAAAGAAAACGAGGGAATGAAATGAGAAAGAGCTGAATGTCGTGTTAGCGGAGCAAGGAAATGAACATAGTTACATAAAACTTGGGACTGAGTGGAAAGGTGAAATGCAGTGAAATGGTTGCAAGTCGAAATGTAAATGAAAAAAAAAAACAGTGTTGGAATAAAAGTTTTTGCCACGTAAAGGTGATTCGGCAACGTTTGTACAGGGACTTTAATATGAGGAGCCTCCCGGTAACTTTTTAGACGCATGGCCCACCGGAACAATTTAAACTAGCAAAGTCCTGCAACAGAAGACATGTTTTTTAGTAGTCCAACTACATTTGACCTTGAGTGATCAAGCTGCTGGATATGTGACATACATAGAAGCAAATATAAAATACGTTTAAGCATGAATGTTATGCCAATTGCAAACAGATTCCGTTTGCTGGGACTTCTATAACTTCCGGGTGTTCTTGATCGTTTTTTGTTAGTTGTTACTTTATCTTATTTTGAAAGCTTACAACTTGAAGAAAACGGTCATGTTTGGAATGTTTTGAAATCCTTTTTTTAACTTCTCAAGACTATGACATTTTGAGTGTTGTAACGGAACTGACCGAAAGAATTGAGTGTTTGGGATATTCTGCCGGTATGTGTGCATTTTTTAATAGATTTGATTACGTGGACCTGTGAAATTATCTCGATATCCGCCCTATCTAACAAGTAGCTCATTGTAGTTATTGTAAGTATTGTAGAGAACAATAAGCTCACCATAAATTTCATTTGGCACCAGTAGCGGCGAAACACCTTGAATTAAGGGGGGGAGCACTGCCGACTTTTGGTCCCATTCTTTCCATGCAACGCCCATAGGGCTAATATTAAAACGCCAAAATCTAAGGGGGCACGGTGCCCCGGTGCCCTCCCCGTTCTGCCGCCTATGTTTGGCACTTATGATTTATAGCCCATTTTTTCCTCAAAAGGTCCCTTGGGTCCCGTTCATGTGTTCATGTGAAACTACTACCTGGCTTCCCCAAGTATCTTCGCTCTCCGCCTTTTCTGCCGTTTCCTTCCTGATATAAAGTCGGCTAAATTGAGTGCCTGAGCCTCGGGGTGAGCCCTCATCTGACGTGGAAGCACCAGAAGAGACACGGCTCGTAAGCTGACACGTAGCACGATTCGTAAGCTGACGGAAGGCAGGGCAGGATTGCTGACGACATCTCTACCGTAATCCGTCCTGTCATCATCAATTACACCGTGTGTCGCGTTCTGTATGATGCCATCAGCGCTCCTGAAAGGGGGCTGAAAACGACCCAAGGAGATTGAAACCGACTGAAAGGCGAGTAAGCCCGGGCTGTATAGATGGGGCTCCGTAACTCAACTGAGAGGCGTATAGTTAAAAAATAATGTTATCGAGTTTTACAGAAAATGCTGTAATGCACTTGATCGTATTCGATGCATGTGAGAAACCAAAGGTACTTCAGCTCTTGGATAAGATGATTCGCATCTTCATGTGTTGATTCTTCTTCATATGCATTAATAAATGCTATAAAAAATCATCTTATAGTTTCATCTTCATCTTATAGTTTCATCTTCAAACTATAAGATGAAGACTATAGATTATAGTCTTCATCTATAATCTATATTATATAACACGTGTGGAGCTCAATGTAGCACCTGACAAAGCTCAGTTCAATGGCTTGTACCGACATTTCATCAA